AGAACTCATAAAAAATCAAGTCAGGCCGGCGCGGGTGGCCACGCCGTAATCCTAGCTCTCTTGGAGCCGAGCGGCCGATTGCTCCGAGGTATATACAATTCAAACACACAACAGAGCCGAGACTCGTCTCTACTTAATAGAAAGAATTATTGGAACACACTATATATATAAAAAAATTAGCCGGGCATGGAGACAACACAAAACACACACAACTTGGAGGCTTGAGGCCAGGAGGATTGCTTGAGCCAGGAAAATTTGAGGTTCTGTGAGCTAGCTGAACACACAAAACGGCACTCACTCAGGCCTGGGCAACAGAGCCGAGACTCCGGTCTCAAAAAAAAAAAAAAAAAAATCAAGTGAAACCCCAGAGCTAAAGTTAAATATCCACTTGAGAAGTTCAGACGTGTCATTTAATCCTCTCTTTAAAATAAAGAAATGTATTCCTTCATTCTGTGCAGGAAGAATTCCTAGAAACTGCAAGAGCCCGGCAGGAAAGGCTGGTCTCTAAACACCATTTCCCGCAGAAAGGGTCAGGGGTTCCCTCAAGAAATGGCTGATTGTAAGGTTGAGGATACGAAATTTAAAATGGGTCTTGGGGTTTTTTTTTGTTTTTTGTTTTTGTTTTTGTTTTTTTTTGTAGTGAAACAAAAGCAAGGGAATTATCAAATCTAATAGGATGTAGACAAAAGGGTACAGGAGGTAGCTGAACTAAAAGAGCCTCGTATAAAGATGGGACTTTTTTTTTTTAATTAAAATGAAAGTCCCATAATATAAAATTACCCATTTTAAAGCACACAGGTCAGCGGCATTAGCACACGTACAGTGTCGTGCAATCTCCGGCTCTAGCTCCAAAGCGCTTTCTGCACTTCCAAGACAACCCCATATCCGCCAGCAGCTGCTCCCTCCCCCATGAATTAAGATACTAATCTATACCCCCCCCAATAAAAGATTGCATTGAATTAAAAACACAGCAGATGCTGATAGAGTTCTGAGTTTATAACAATACTAAAACGAAGAAAAAAAAGTCATTTGCACCTTTCTAGGTTACTAAGGGCTCAGTTCATGATTCTCAAAACCTTAAACAAAGACTAAGGAAGGAGCGTGACTCAGTGTCCCCTGCAGGCACAGAATTTCAGGGTAGACAGAAGAGGGTGGCGGGGCTGGAGTGAAGCAGACCACGGCGGGTCCTAAAGCTACAGCTGCGGGGTCACTGGGCGCAGCAGGGTGGCACCACAGGGCCCCCAGGGCAGCCCGCCTTCACGTCACTCACCGAGGGACATGGGCCTCCTGTGCGTCTTGCTAGGGTGTGGGCACAGGAGCAACTACGGCTCAGCACCCTTTATTTCTCAGAAACACAGAGAGAGAGGGAGAGGGAAATAATAAGAAAGAGAGAGAGAGAGAAAAAGAATGAAAGAGAGAGAGAAAGAAAGAAGAAAGAAAGAGAAAAAAGAGAGAGAAAGAGAAAAAGAGAGAGAAAAAGGAAGAAAGGAGGAAAGGAGGAAAGAAAGAAAGAAAGAAAGAAAGAAAGAAAGAAAGAAAGAAAGAAAGAAAGAAAGAAAGAAAGAAAGAAGGAAGGAAGGAAGGAAGGAAAGGAGGGAGGGAGGAAGGGAAAGAGAGAGAAAGAAAGAACAAAAGGAAAGAAAGAGAGAGGGAGGGAAGGAACGAAGGATGGGAGAGAGAGAGAGAGAGAGAGAGAGAGAGAGAAAGAAAGAAAGAAAGAAAGAAAGAAAGAAAGAAAGAAAGAAGGAAGGAAGGAAGGAAGGAAGGAAGGAAGGAAGGAAGGAAGGAAAGGAGGGAGGGAGGAAGGGAAAGAGAGAGAAAGAAAGAACAAAAGGAAGGAAGGAGAGAGGGAGGGAAGGAACGAAGGATGGGAGAGAAAGAAAGAAAGAAAGAAAGAAAGAAAGAAAGAAAGAAAGAAAGAAAGAAAGAAAGAAAGAAAGAAAGAGACAGAAAGAAAGAAAGAGGAAGAGAGGGAGGGGAAGAGGAAGAGAGGGAGGGGAAAAGGAAAGGAAAGGAAAGGAAAGGAAAGGAAAGGAAAGGAAAGGAAAGGAAAGGAAAGGAAAGGAAAGGAAAGGAAAGGAAAAAGGAAGGGAAAGGAAAAAGGAAAGGGAAGGGAAGGGGAAAGGAAAAAGAAAAGGAAAGGAAAGGAAAGGAAAGGAAAGGAAAGGAAAGGAAAGGAAAGGAAAGGAAAGAAAGGAAAGGAAAAAGGAAAGGAAAGGAAGAAGGGAGGGAAGGAGGGAGGGAGGGAGGGAAGAAAAAGAGAGAGGGAGGGAGGGAGGGAGGGAAGGAAGGAAGGAAGGAAAAAAGCTCTTCAGAAGGTACACTACCTGCAACAACCAAGACGGAGTTCTTTGTAAAAGCAATGTATCAAGACAGTAATGAGGCATTCTCTAAGATTTTGGCATGTTCATTAAGTAAAATAATCGCTCCATATTATGTACAAAATCATCTTCCTCCATTTAGTCTTAAATGGGCACAGTGAACTCGCCGGAGAATAATACGGTTTGGCAAATTTATAAACAAGTGAATCATTTCATTTCTGGTTTGTTTGAATTAGACATCCAACAAAAAAAAATGACTTAAAAAGAAAAAAGGACCTATCAATATACCACATGCTGCCAATAGAGGGCAGTACCGAATATTATGAATGTTATGAACCAATATTTTTTACAAATTGAGGTCTTCCCTATTTGACACAGAAAGCAACAGATTTTTACGTGCTTTATTTTCTTAGAAATGTAATAGACGTTAATAAATTCTATAGGGGAAAATCAGATCGAATCTAACTGCTTCAGAAGGTGTTCAATGGACGGTCTTTTTCCAAAAGCCACCAGGGAAGAAGAGATGAGTCGTTGAGTATAAAACTGCCCCCAAATCAAGTTTCTCAAAAAAGCAGATGTTTCTATACAATGTTAGGAGTATAATTATCACCTCACCCAAGCCCACCTCACCAAAGAATGAGAAAATACCAGCCACCCACAGGTGCTGAGCTTCTGAAATGTGGTTAGCCTCCTGAAAAGCGGACGTTACCACCTAATCCAAATTGAATTTGTCTGATTTACGTCTACAAACTGATAGCAATGATCTTTTCTGAGCGTTTTTTCAGCAGCTCGGGCATGTGGCTTGACTCTTTGCGACTGCCAGTTTTATGAACGCTGAATAAAAAAAATCAAGGATTTCTGACGAAAAGTTAGCACCCTAATTTAAACGAACCGTGATTGCAAAACACGCGTGGGATTTCAAAAGGCAAGCGGGCAAAAGCTTCATCTGAAATGTCTCAATTTTTGTAGCGATTGGATATTGAAAAAGATTGGGGGTCTACACAGCTACCGGGATAAATTATTATTACTATAACACATTATAGTTATTATAATACATCATTAAAATTTTCTTTTCACTTCTTTGTCTCACATTTTAAAACATGGCTACGAGAAAATGTTAAACAAGGAATAGGGTTTGTGTTTCTAGCAGATGATGCTGCGCTAGATAAAGAAAAAGTTTAGGAGCACAAATTGCTGAAATTGTCTAGAGGAAATAAAACATCCACCCTTGTCTTTTTCAACAGACTATTTTATGATGACGCATTGTCACCGGCTATGATGGCATTAGGAAGAATATATTTAAATCTTTCTCCAGTCCTGTGTGTGTGTGTGTCTCTCTAACAGCTAATTAATTTATCAGGCAATCTAGAGTTCAGGAGTGAACAAAGATTTGTGTTTTATTAGGGGTAATGACAAAAAAAAAAAAAGCAACGACAAAAAAAAAATCCAACGCAAAAAAACTCAAATGCAAAACAAATACAGAGAAATGTCTAGAAAATTAACTTCCGAGGCTAAGGAGAAAAAAAAAAAAAAATGCCACACCTCTCTTGTTCTCTTCACTGGGCTAAAAAAGAAAAAAAATCTAGGATTGCACTCAAAACAAATCTTTAGATGCCAAGACAAGCCCTCGGTGTTTCATGCAAGAGGTATTCTCTCTCCTGTCTTAAACGCATGCGATTTAAAGTATTAAGAGTTTTCCTGTTCTCCTATATATTAAGGGCTGCATAGTTTTTATAACAGCAGAACACGCATTCTAGAGACCTGTGCACTGGCGTTGGCATTCGATGCCACCGCAGTAGAACAAAGACATTAACCTCCCATTGCTAACGGCTGTCCAGTTAACCATTTACCCCAGTTCAACGGAACGTTCTGGATCACCGCGGGTGAATGAAAGCCAAAAGGCATTTTGTAGTAAGATTTGGTCTCATAAAGTGATTCTTTAGGGCCGGGCGCGGCGGCTCACGCCTGTCATCCCAGCACTCTGGGAGGCCGGGGCAGGAGGATCGCTCAAGGTCAGGAGTTCGAAACCAGCCTGAGCAAGAGCGAGACCCCCGTCTCTACTAAAAATAGAAAGAAATTAATTGGCCAACTAAAAATATATATAGAAAAAATTAGCCGGGCGTGGTGGCGCGTGCCTGTAGTCCCAGCTACTCGGGAGGCTGAGGCAGGAGGATGGCTTGAGCCCAGGAGTTTGAGGTTGCTGTGAGCAAGGCTGACGCCACGGCACTCACTCTAGCCTGGGCAACAAAGTGAGCCTCTGTCTCAAAAAAAAAATATATATATATATACATATATATGTGTGTGTGTATATATATATACACACACGCGCGTGCGTGTATGCGTGTATTGCAAACACAATTTTCGAAGACACTTTCTACCTCGATCCCTGCAGATCCATTTTACAGTTAGAGCCACCCAGACTCAGATAAGACTCACGCCATCGTCATTCAAATCCAACAAGGGGAATGTCACGACTTGATTGCATCCACCCACCGTGGGAATGAAAGAAAGTGACTTCCTACCTATCCTACCTACCCGCTGTATCCTGCCAACAACGACCCCAGCCCACCTGAAAAGCCAGGTGCACTAAACCCCTGGCCGCACGTCCTGCCGCGGCCAGACCCCTCCCGACTGCCGCGGCCCCTTCCGACGCCCCAGCCAAGCCGGCCTCGCTCCTACCTGTCCACCAGTTTCTTGGCGAACCCGAAGTCCGTGAGCTTGATGTGGCCCTCTCTGTCCAGCAGGATGTTCTCCGGCTTCAGGTCCCTGTAGACGATCTCCTTGGAGTGCAGGTACTCGATGGCGCAGACGATCTCCGCGGAGTAGAAGAGCCCGGTGGCCGCCGTGAAGCGGCCCCTGTTCCGCAGGTAGCTGAAGAGCTCGCCGCCCGGCACGAACTCCATCAGCATGTACAGGAACCGCTCGTCGTGGCCAGTCCAGAACCTGCAAGAGACCAGCACAGGCTTGGCGGCCCGGCCAGAGACCGGCGAGGGGACAAGCGTCGGCATACCCGTTGGTACACTGGCGAAGACGGACGAGATGTGTATACACATAGATGCTGGCATACAATTTAGGGCCGGGCGCAGCGGCTCACACCTATCATCCAGGCACCCTGGGAGGAGGCCGAGGCGGGCGGATCGCTCGAGCTCAGGACTTCGAGACCAGCCTGAGCAAGAGTGAGACCCTGTCTCTACTAAAAATAGAAAGAAATTAATTGGCCAACTAAAAATATATAGAGAAAAAATTAGCCGGGCGTGGTGGCGCGTGACTATAGTCCCAGCTACTCGGGAGGAGGCTGAGGCAGGAGGATCGCTCGAGCCCAGGAGTTTGAGGTTGCTGTGAGCGAGGCTGGGTGTAAACAACAGACATTGCTTGCTTGCAGCTCTGGAGGCTGGAAGTGCGAGATCCCGGCGTGGCAGGGGGTGTGTCTGGCGGGGACTCACTTCTTGGTTCACAGACGGCGCCTTCTCACCGTGTCCTCACGTGGTGGAAGGGGCGAGGGAGCTCTCTGGGGTCCCTTTTATTATATAAGGACCCTGATCCCATCCGTGAGGCTCCACCCTCAGGACCCCATCACCTCCCAAAGGCCCCACCTGGCAACACCATCTCCTTGGGGGTGAGGATCTCAACACAGGAATTGGGGGGGGTGACATAGTCACACAACAACTGATGTTTATGTCCTGTTGAACAGCCTTGGAATGAAGAGCAACTATAATGTTTTGGTAATAACCCAGTTAACAGTGTGTCATGGGATGATTTATGCCTCCCCCCGCCCCCTGGCCAATATTCGTATGTTGAATTACCAACCTTCAGTGCCCCAGAATGTGGCTCTTTATTTCAGAGATGGGACCTTTAAGGAAGTAATTTAGTTAAAACGAGGTTATAAAGGTTGACTCCTAATCCAGTAGGACCGGTGTGCTTATAAGCAGAGGAGAGACGAGGCCACAGACAGACACAGAGAGGGACAACCCCGTGAGGACACAGGGAGGAGACGGCGTCTACACGCCCAGGAGAGAGGACCCAGGAGGAACCAGCCCTGAGAGACACCTGGATCCGGGACTTCCAGCCTCTAGGAACTGTCAGGAAAACAGACATCTGTTGTTCAACCCACCGAGTCTCTGGGACTTGGTTACGGCAGCCCTTGCAAACCCACACGCAGATCTTCAGAGAGCTCACACCTGCTTCAGCAGCTCCGGAACTGTCATCAGGCTTAGAAATTAACAGCAAATTAACAGAGCGCATCCCAAGCCTGCTGGGGAAAAGGCAGCCGTTCAAAAAAGCCCCGAGTAAGGTATTTCTCTAAGCAATTACTGGTAGGAGCTTGCCTGCGAGACAGAAAAGGTGCGTCCTCCTTGCAAAGGTGTTGATTAGCTCTACCGAGGCGAGAAAGGCAGCCAAGAGGAATTGAGGAGGAAGAAAGAGAAGAAATGAAAGAAAGAAGAGAGGAGACACTAGGTCTCACCTCTATCTTAGACGGCTTAGCTAAAGGAATAGAAACAAACACGTTCTCGGGAGGTAAGCGTTGATGATGAAAGAATGTTTTCACATAAAGGGGATGAGGGGGAAAGGGAGACAAGATCTAGACTTAACAGCTTTGTGCCCTGAAAGGAATTAGAAGACCCCAGCCTGCCAGAGACCTGGACGACCTGCAGCAAAACCGTCCACACGTGCATCCGTGCTTTTTGTCTGGTCCTGACAAAGTGACGGATGGCTCCCCTCCAAGGCCGACCCCCGGGGAGCTACGTCTACCTGGTCCCCAAAGAAAACCAAACAGTGCCCGGGAGGATGCTCCGGGTTGATCAGGAGGTCTTGTCTAGAAGCTCAGGTTCTAGCTCTAAAATAACGCGGCAGGAAGACCCAGGATTTGGGGAGATGGCTTGGCAGGACGCAGAGACTCACTCGAAGGGAACATCATAAAAATATAATCAGGTGGCGGTGGTCAGGAATAGCAGGAGGAAATAAAGATAAGTAAAAAGATAGGGCTGTAGGGAGGAACGGTGACCCGATCGTAATCGACGTGAAAAGGAGAAGCCACATATAAACAACACAGTATTCTGAATCTCAAACGCACATTCGAGCTATTCATCACCGATGTTTATACGCATCAGCGGAAGTATGGGTCTCCTGCACAAAAAGCTTTTCTCCCCTCATGCACATTTACATTTGCAGAGTCTTTGCAATCGCCATGCATTTAACGGACTCAGCTAGCCACAAACAGCGGCCGTATCAACACCTTCCTTTCTCGATCTTGCGGTCGGATTCGAAGGGAGCTCAGGGTTGGGCGACTGGTCGCTTTTGTTACCTGAAGGCTCTGCGTCTCTCTCCCCACACCCCACTCACTTCTTACAGCTCTGCAAGTCCAAGATCTGTGGCTTTTGGCCACGAAGAGATGCAGGAAGAGTGCTTGGGGAGGACAGGGGGGGCTTGCTGCCGCTGTTACTATCCGAACGAAGCCACCTCACCCAGTTATAAGCTCTCACCAGACACCGCAGGCTTTGCATGTTAAAGTCGAGGTCTTGCGTCACTTTATCTGGCCAAATGCCCCATTTTAAGTGGTTTGTGCCGTGACTGGTTAGGTAGGAATGTCGCTTTTCCGCAACGCTGCCTTGCCAAGCACACGGTATTTCAAACGCGTGACGGTCAAACTGTGCTTCTGTGCGTGGGCTTAGAACTCCCACCATGGTCTCACTGTTCCGGCTGGGAAATATTCATGTGTGCTAAGGTCCAAGGGATATGTCTTCCTGGTGAACTTTTACCACCAACCTCTATGGTAGCCGGTCACTTTCTAGATTTCTTCAGGGCAGGGTTGCTGGCAAAGTTAGCTGGAACTCACCAACAAAGGTGTGATCTCATAAGATTTGGGGAAAGCAAGAAGCTCATTTTTTTAAATTTCAGACTATTACAGGGGTACACATGTTTTGGGTACACTGTTTGCTTTTGTATAGTTTTGAGTCAAAGTTATCAGTGTGCCTTTCACCAAGATAGTACAACCTTTATGGAAAGGAGTATATGGAGATATCTCAAAGAACTAAAAGTAGAACTACCAGTGGATCCAGCAATCCCACTACCGGGCATCTACCCAGAAGATATTCTATAAAAAAGACATCTGCACTCAATGTTTATAGCAGCACGATTCACAATCGCAAAGATGTGGAAACAACCCAGGTGCCCATCCATCCATGAGTGGATTAATAAAATGTGGCATCTGTATATACCATGGAGTTCTACTCAGCCACAAAAAACGATGGTGATCTAGCACCTCTTGTGTTGTCCTGGATGGAGCTGGAGCCCATTCTACTAACTGAAGTCTCAGAAGCATGGAGTTCTTAAAAATACCCTAAATGGTCAAAACCATGCAAAGCAAGAAGGAAAACCAAATGTCTACAACTGTCAGTTTGGTCAAAGGGAATATACATAACCCCCTCTCTCGCTCTGAGGCTCAAACACACAAGAGACATATACACGCATGTGCACACACACTCTCCCCATCAATTACTACGAACACACTCCTTGGATATATCCCGCCCATCTTTCCAGCGCCAGCCCCGATACTCTTCAAAACAACACATCACGTTGTTACAATGCAGCCAGGGTCACCCTGCAGGTCCAGCAGAGATGGCTGGCTCTGGTGGGAGACTAGTAGGATTTGCACTTTCGGGACTGGGCAAGTCTGTGGAACATGCCAGCCCCAATTAGCGTGGGCGGAGACCAGGAGATTCAGGGAGCCGCAGGGATCAGCTGAAGATCTCAGATTCGGCCACCTGGATTCCGGGGGAAGTTGCAATTTCATTCACAGGTAAGTTGGTCCATTGAGGAAGAGAGCTGTGAGTTCGTGTCAAAAGAGGGAAGGAAAGGAAATGAAACCAAACCAAACAAAACAAAACAAAAGTAAAGAAAAAGTTGAGTAGGGAGAAGTACCCAGATATACAAGAACACACGAAGATAGATTTTTATTCCACCAGCATCTCAGTAAAATCCAACAAGACATCAACAAACCCTAACGCTCAAGAAAGCCACCTCATCATTATAGCTGGACGCATCATTTTCACTTACACAGGAACGTGTGACACTCATCAGCAACATGGAGTAGTAACGTTTTGCAAATAAAAGTACCCCAGAGCGAAGAAAAATATATTAGTATACAGAAAAAAAAAAAAGAGAGAGAGAGAACAAAAATCTGCAAGACTCCAGTTTCCCTGCCTTTTCCCAAATCACTAAAGTCAAGTAAATATTCCAAGGGGAAAAAAAAGAGTCCTCAGACGCTGTGGTCCCCAACCCCTGGGGTATGGACCAGTATCAGTCTGGGGCCTGTTAAGGAACCGGGCCATGCAGCAGGTGAGGGATGAAGCAGACGCTCCCATCACTCACAACAATGCCTGAGCTCCACCTCCTGCCAGATCAGTGGCGGCGTTAGACTCCGCATTACGGTGAGCCGCATAATTATTTCATTCTGCATTGCAATGTGAAAATAACAGAAATAAAGAGCGCACGCGACAAACACAATGTGCCTGAATCATCCTGAAACCAGCCCGCCCCCACCTCCCCAGAACGTGGGAAACAAAAGATTGCTTTCTATGAAACCCGTCCCCAGTGCCAAAAAGGTTGGGGGCGGCTGCTCTAGCACGTCTTCTTTCACATCTCCATCTAAAATAAATAAAAATGAGACTACAAAACAAGACTACAGAATAACTACTACCAAATAAGTTTCTTCTGAGTGGCTCATTTGTTAGCCAAGCAAGGAAAGATATTTATTGATAATGAGTTAATCGAATCATGTTTGATTACAGCAGCAGATGAAATATGTCCAGTGAAAATAAACTAGTTTATTAAGACAAAAAAAAAATCTCCATCTGTAAGATTTTTCTTACACGGACAGAATTTGTAAAGAGCTGGGTGCCGTGAAAGATTAGGACTGAAATGTTGAGAGCGATTACTGACTTTAC